TAAATGCATTTGTACAACAGTTTAATTTTATGTAATGAAGGGCTAGGAATCAGATTTCAAACTCATAGTTATCTAATGACACTCCAAACATGCCAAGGTGAGTTGTTACTGTGCGTACAATTAAGAGGACGGGATGAAACTGGAACCACAATAATAGTTTCCACCTACCTTGTTAATATGTACAGTAAGGGTGTAGTAATTTACATTGTTTTAACCTTTATATCAGATTCAAAATATATTTTGATGAATCCCTTTGCTGAGTTATAGTTAAGATTGAAGTGCATTTCCCATCAATACAATCACTAGACATCTAGAAAATCACTAGTTAAGGAAAAAATTAGCATCAATATCACCTACATGCTACTAATCTTAGGAATCACACATTAACACATTCCTATCCTGCTATATGCTTCCACAAAAGTTTTTACGGTATTACCACATTGTCTAGGAGCCCCAGTTATGAACCAGATAACTGTTGTACAAATGCAGAACAAAACACAGCACCTACTCACAATCTACAAATCTCTACACTTTTAATAATTGCATTGGTGGGAAATGCACTTGACGGTACAGGAGACCCTCACAATCCCATGTATTCAGGGGTGTCCTGTCCCACCCTGGGAGGGGAGGGCAAGAGGGGCCGGGAACTTCAGGAAACTCACCACAGCTGCCAGGAGCCACAGTGAGTTTCCCTGCTGCTCCTAGCAGCTGAGGTGAGTTCCTCACAGCTCCTGGTCCCTGCGGTGAGTCACAGCTCCCAGTATTTACAGGTTTCACCAGTTGTGGTAGTTGTGCAAATGGATAGGGTTTCCAGTACTTAAATATGAGTTACCAAACATTTTAGCTTTAAAACAAGCAACGAAGGCAAATGTTTGTCCCATCTGACCAGCCATTCTAATTTCCATTTTTGAGGGGGATGAGGAGAGGATATTTATGTTTCTAGTCTGTCACATCTCTCAAATGAATTGGCAGCTGCAGTGTTCTAGAATGAGTTTTTTTTTTAAATGTTAAATTTTATTTATAAGTGGAGGAATAAGGAACTGAAATGATCAGCCTTTCTAATTACTTACATTTGACATTGGATGTTTTTCATCTTTGACCAAACTCTCAGCTCCTTATTCTGTCTTTACTCTGAAGTCTCCAGTACCGCTCTATTCATAAGTAATTCTGTAGCCCTCATGCCCAGGTTCCTTCTCTGCCATTACTAAAACATGCTCAAATAGCTGAGAGAGATGTGCATGGAAGATCTGGCACTCAAAGAAGCCAGTCTCCCCTTGCTGCTGCTTCTGTGATACAACAAACAGCAGTTTACAAACCTGCTGAGGCTCATTCAAAGTCCTGGCCCTTCACTAAGATTTGAGTTTACCAGAGTATTACCACTTCTCTCCTAATTTCAGATAGTGATCAGTTCTTCCCTTAGGCTACGTCTAGACTGGCATGATTTTCCAGAAATGCTTTTAACGGAAAAGTTTTCCGTTAAAAGCATTTTCGGAAAAGAGCGTCTAGATTGGCATGGACGCTTTTCCGCAAATGTACTTTTTGCGGAAAAGCGTCTGTGGCCAATCTAGACGCGCTTTTGCGCAAAAATCTCAGCTGTCTACACTGGCCCTTTTGCGCAAAAGTTTTGCGCAAAAGGGACTTTTGCCCGAACGGGAGCAGCATAGTATTTCCACAAAAAGCACTGATTTCTTACAGTAGGAAGTCAGTGCTTTTGCGGAAATTCAAGTGGCCAGTGTAGAAAGCTGGCATGTTTTTCCAGAAAAGCAGCTGATTTTCCGGAAAAACTGGCCAGTCTAGACACAGCCATATTGTATATGTCACAATTTTTTAGTATTTCTGGTGAAATATTTTACTGCGGAGGGGTCAGTAGTGACATAGTTAAGTTTGCATTATAATTGGTATTAAATGAATTCCTTTCTCATGTATAAAAAGTATAAATACCACACTTACTTAAGAGTATTCTTCTTAGTGTATGCACAACATACAGGCAGTCCCCGGGTTACGTACAAGATAGGGACTGTAGGTTTGTTCTTAAGTTGAATTGGTATGTAAGTCGGAACTGGTACATATTGTAGCCGAAACTCTAGCCAAACATTTCTCCAGAGCTCAGTTTTATTCTCCCACACCTCACTTCCCTCAGTCCTTTATTCTCAAGCTGAGGTGTCTGCTGAGAAAAGCCGCTCCGCGTTTCCCTGGTCTGCTGGGGTGGGGGTTGGAGGGAGCTAGCTTTGCGTCTCCCTAGTCTGCTGGGGGGAAGCGGTGAGTGCGGGGTTGCCTCACCCCGTTTGTAAGTAGGGATCCGATGTAAGTCGGATCCATGTAACCCGGGGACTGCCTGTACTTCATGTGGCAAGTGAGTAGGATTCATCACTAAATTTGGTTAGTGGATTGGATCATTGGCTTCCCCAGCCTGCAGCACTAATGGGGAGATTGAAGTGACTGCTGATCCATGCCCCCTTTATTTAGGGTAAAGACCAAGGACTTGATTTAGCACTAAATTATTGAAGTTTTATGCCTGTTTAACTCCACCCAGGACTAGTGCAATGCTGAAATAGGCCTTGGATTTTCAGGGAAACCATCACTTGCAGTTGGCATGACTAATGGTATCCAGGCTCACTTTAACAAATTAGACAATCTGGACAAAATAGTAGACTAGATCAAGATAGCACATAACACAATGAAGAAATTAACTGAGAACTTGAGGGGAAAACAGACACTGAAAATATGATCCTCTTCCAAATTTAATCTTGCACAAATTGCTTGCAACTTTATAGGTAAAAATGGCATTGTGGGATACTATGTTTATTTTTATTGACTCCAGATCTGTCTACAAGAAACAAAAGAGGTGTTTTTTCTAAATGTCTAACTTGAAGCTGGGATCTTGCCATTTCATCCATCATCACATATAATAAAGAAACTGGAAAAATTCTGCTCTTAGTTATACCTTACATAGTTTCATAGATCGAAAGACCAGAAAGGACCATATGATCATCTAATCTAATCTAATGGCTTGCAACTTCAGAGGCTGTAGAATATTACCAAATGATTTCTGCCTTAAGCCTAATAATGTGTGGTTGAACGGGAACATCTCTTAGAATTTTCCTGACCTTGATCATTCCTATGGTTCTTTGCTAAACTGTCTTAATTTCCAATATACTTTTAAAAGTATAAATACATCAGAACAGGACACAGTATTAACTTGTGATCTCATAAATATTCTATACAAATGTCATATCACTTTCCTGCCGGTACATTTTAGTCTCCCAGCCCCATATAAAGGACATTGTAGAAACAGGGTTGTAGGAGTGTTCTGGAGGACAGGATGAGACTCAGCAGTTTGGAACTTACTGACTAATCACAGTAATGTGTGAGGATAATATTGTAAGCTCCTGAGTGGAAGCTGCTTGGGACAGGGACAGTGTTTATCTGTATATCTGAGAAGTGTTTAGTGCAGTAGTCTTAATAGGGGCCTTTGGCCACTCCTACAATATAAATAATTAAAAGAGGAATAAACCACAAAGATGTTTTTCTAATGTTCAAGTTCAGACAGATCAGCAATGGACCAAGAGACATTTTATTTATATGCAGGTTTGCCAGATTCTGCTGGCTTCCATCTGTGTAAGTTTTTTTTCCTACCTCTATTACTAAAGTGACATGCATGTAAAGCAAGAGCATGTGAACTGAAGTGTGTTCTGACTGCACACAACGACTTCCCTCTGCATCTAATCAGCACATCCCACAAACTTAAGGTAGTTAGCAAAAGTACCCTATCCCAAAAAAACATCTTGGTTATGAAAATCTAGCAGCCCACTGAGACGGAGAACCATTCATGTGGCCCACTCACTAGTCTAGGTTGCCCAAGTTGCTGCTGAAACTAGCACATCTAGCATTCCTATCACCCCCGCTGGCCTGAAGCAGATTCTATTATGTACAAGGTTTACAGTTTGGTTCAATGGCTCCCAGCACCCTCACTATCAAATTTTGTCCAGAACCACTGCAAGTTTAAGGAATCCTGGTCCTACCAAATAACAGCATAACTCTTATTGATTTCATTGTGTACAAGATTTCAACCTCCATATTCATCAAAGCTTAACAAGGGGCGACTCTAGAATCACTCCAGCTCTGGATACTTTTAAGCTCCCAAAGTCCACACAAAGCACAAGTCAAAATCCTTGCTATCCCCGAAAGCACCATAAATGTTCACCTAAGATATGTCTACACAGCAAGGCTAAACTCAACATAAGCTATGCAACTTGAGCTACACTAATTGCATAGCTTAAGTCAAACTAGCTTATTTCGACTTTTGGTGCTGTCTACATCGCAGTTATTTATGTTGAGACAGAGCACTCTTCCCTCGACTTCCCTTACTCCTTGTACAATGAGGGCTACAGGCGTTGGAGTAAGAAGTCCTCCAGCTCGACATTATTTTGACATTATACCAGAATAACTGCTTGTGTGCAGAGGCAGACTATATTATTAACACTACTGGACAGACACAGCCCTAGCCAGCATCAGGACCCTGCCATGGGAGGAAACGCCGTGGTTCAGCTGTGCTGCGGTCAGTCCCACCTGCACAACTCTTACCAAAGCCACAGAGAGAGAGAACCGCTCCTCCCGGCAATGCCACGTTTCGAGAGCAGCACGACCCGGTCTCCGGGGAGCGCTCGGGTTAGCGCCCGGCCCGGTACTTAAGCCAGTGCCCGAGCGCCTCAAGCCAGGCAGGTGGCTCTGCCCGGGGTGCCCTTCGCTTGGCCTTAACGCCAAGGACACCAACCTCCGGGACCCTCCGGCTTCCACTGAGCTGCCCTTGGAAACGGGGCCTGCCCCTTCCCGCCTCCCTCGGCCCCTATAAGCCGCTGGGATTCCGCGGGGTTGGGGGAGCCCCACAGAGGAGCCCCGGGGGGCGAGGGGGCAGCGG